AGGTAAAATGGTCACAAGAAAATCCCCTGAGCTAACAGAAGAAAAAGAGAGTTTGGTCACATTTTCATTTTATCCTATCATCCAACACACATCTCACATGTGCAAAACACACACACACACACACACACACACACACACATACACACACACACAAACAAACATACATACATACATACATACATGAGCAAAGTCTAACAACACTATACATCACAGCTTAACAAATATAAACCACTCTGTCATACATAGAAATCAGTTGTTAAATGGATTATGACACAGTACTAAACTTAGAGAAAAAACTGACAGTTCTCTGCCCTCTTTCTATAAAGAAAATAGTACATAATGCAATCTTGGTAAACATACTTATTTTTCTGTGATTTTCAAAAAGCTGTAATTAAAAGATTTATCCAAGTACCATTTCGTTAATTTTGCTTCACTGGTTCAGAATTTGATATTAAATTTATGAAAGGACATTTTTTTCAATAAGTTTATTAATGAAACTTTTATTTATCGTCGGGGAGTCACAGCATCCAGCCTTCCGACCACGACTAAAATCAGGCACAAGTTGTTCATGCCATTGGTAATAACACTGATCATACCATTGGTCATTAGACTGACATAATACTGACCATTACACTCTCCATAACACTGACCATATCAATGGTCATACCACAGACCACAACACTGACCGCACCACCGATGATAACTATAGTCATAACACAAACAATAACACTGACCATTAGTCATAACATTGACAATAACTGTGATAATATCACCACTGACCATATCAATGTCCATAACACTGATCATAAAACATATCATAGCACTGACAATACCACCTACTGTAGCACTAATCATACCACTGACAATACCACTGATCATAACACTGACCATACCACTGACCATACCACTGATGATAACACTGGTCATAACACAAACAATAATACCGACCATTGATCATTGACCATAACAGTGATAATAACACTACTGATCATATTACTGACCATATCATTTTCATAACACTGTTCTGTTTGTAACACTGATCATAAAACACATTATGCCACTGACTAAACCACCAACCATAACCCTAACTGGCTACAACACTGGTCCTACCACTGGTCATACCACTGACCACAACGCCAGTCATACCACTGACCATACCTCTCTCCATAGCACTGGCCATAGCACTGGCCATACCACCTACAATACCACTGACCATATGAGAGGCAACGAGGAGAAATCAGGCGCTCGTCTAAATAATGTAATCACAGAAACCAGCATTTATCTGGTGGTTGGGAAAAAAAGGGTCTTAATTTTTTTGGGGCCGGCACTATTTCTCCGAACGTTCGGGAAAATAAAGCTAGGCACTATTTCTCCGAACACTCTGAAATCACATCCTTTCCCCCAAATTTCGGATATTATATAGAGTATAGACCTACCAAAGATTGTTCGTATACAATATGGTTCAATCGGTCCAAAAATGTCCGCAGTAAATATTTATATAAAGAAATACTACAGTTCCAAACAGTTTTTCGCTACAGATATGACGTGTTGCCTTTGAAGGGTGCTGCTCTTAAACTTAATGTGTTGTGTTCACTCGTGTGCTGTCTAGATCTAGATCTACGGAGGGTTATTGATAACGACACATAGAACTAGCTTCAGCGTTTGTCGCTGCCGCGACCAATCAATCGTGGCTCGATTTTTTGGCATTTTCTGGTCGGGGAATTAAAGTCAAATTTAAAAAAAAAAAAAGAAAAAAAAGAAAGAAACCGAACCTCTTTACTTTTGAAAGAAAGTTCCCTTAGCTTAATTTAGTCTCTTTCTCACTTGTTGTCACCACGTTGATTTGTTGAATACGTTACAGTTACTTTTATTTTTCCCTCTTTGACTCTTTGTGGTGTTTTATTTTGTTAGTGTGTAACTTTTTTTCTTGTTATTGTTCTGATGTGTTGTTTTTCTATCAATTTTTTTTTGTTGGGGAAAGGGGGGGGGGGGGGGGGGACGTTGCATAGTGTAACGTCATTTAATTTGATGTTCCTAGTACCTACCTTCATTAGATTCTAAATATATATATACATGTATATATATAGATTTAAATGTTTTATGTTAGAGCGTACGTTCCACCAAAACCGATTACATATACTGACACTGGCAGGCCCCTTAATGTGTGTGATTCCATAATTTACATGTAATATCCTGTACTTTAAAAAAAAATAATTTACGCACTTTTATGGGTTCTAGGTTGACACACACCCTTATCTGTTAATTTTTGTGGTTGTTTATGGGCAGTTCGACTAATTTTGATTTAATTCTGTTGTGAAACCTTTCTTTTTCACGTTTTTACACTCATCTAAAAATCTCTAGACTAGCTCTTGAAAATTGAAATAGATATAGACCCAAAAATTTGCTCCTGTGTGTGTGTGTGTGTGTGTGTGTGTGTGTGTGTGTGTGTGTGTGTGTGTGTGTGTGTGTGTGTCTCTATGCATGTGCGTGTGTGAGTGTGTCTGTGTGTGGTAGTAAGTGTGTAAGTGGAGAGTGAGGAGTGAGTGTGTGTGTGTTTTTCGGGCTTTATTTCAGCCTTTATTCAGTAACAGTTCAAAGTATAAAAAAATAAAAAACAGGATACATTCACTCCAGTGCTCATGAGTCGTTCCTCTCTTTCAGTTTCACTCATTCATTCAATTCCCGTGTTCTCTCCCGCGGCTCATCCCCGTTCTCATGACTTTCACAACTCAGCTCGTCATACATTCAAAAGTTGCCCACTGATCATGTTTAGTTAGTGTGTGTATAAGTTTGTGTGTGTACATGTGCAGGATGGTGGTGGGTGTGTGGTGGGTGTTACTGACGGTTGTATGTAGGCGGGCTTGCCATGTGGTGTTCCTTCCCAGACCAGAGCCAGAGGCAGAATGAAAGTTGGCGCCGAACTCTCGCAATAAATAGGCAAAAAATCACGAGACCGGAAGCCGGAAACCGTTCGGAGAAATAAAGATCGGCACTATTTCTCCGAACGTTCGGAGAAATAGTCACTTCGATAAAACGTTTTTTTTTGGCTCATTACCTTCTATGTCCATTCAAGAACACATTTTAGTGTGGATTTTACTGAAAAGTGTTGATTAAAGGCACAAAAATTGTAAATTTGTAATTTCCAAGGACACTCAAGCTTTGGAAGTCACCAAACTTTGGCGGCCATTTTCTCACTAGATTTACCTCTGACAGCTGGCGACCCCCACCTCCTTCAATCGCAAGTATCTTGACTTCTATTCAAGATAGATAAGTATTTTCTTCGCCAAATGCAAGACAAATGAACGAGCTTTTAGGTGATACTAATAAGTCCATATGCCCCAAAACTGATGAGCCCCCGATTCCACTGCGTCGTGACGCATACCATTAGTCATAACACTAACCATATCACTGGTCATAACACGGTCCTTACTACTGGTCATAAAGCTTACCATAACACTAGTCATACCACTGGTCATACCATTGGTTAGAACAGTTATAATAGCGCTGATCACAACACTTACTGAAACTGCAGGACACTGCTGGCTGCAGTTACGTGAGAATGCATGACACCCTTTGGGAAGCCACTGGTCCCACTGGAGTAAGGCAAAAAAAGGATATCTTTCTGTGCGTCTACAGAGGTGTCAGCCAAGGTCGGTCCATCGTCTTGTGTGAGAGATTCGAAAGACACAAAATCCGGATGTTCACCAAAGACAATCAGGTGCTATGAAAAGAAAATAAGCAAAACAAAATAAGTAGTGTCAGTCCTTGGTCTTACAGGGACTTTACCTTCTTTTTTGCTTTCCTCTCTGCATTCCAAGGGTAAGCAATTGTAGGTTCTTAGACCCACAGTGGGATTCCTTTTCTCACTGTATGTGTATATATAGAGAGATATTATATGTGTCACCATGCGATGGAATCAGATGCTCATCAATTTTTGGGCTTAAGGAGTTATTGATATCATCTTAAAGCCTGTTCACACGTCCAGCTTTTCATGAGAAATTACCTGTCTGTCGTGAAGAGAAGTCGAGATATTTGTAATTGAAGGAGATAGGGTCGTTTGGTATCATAGGTAAAATTAGTAACAAAAAGACCGCCAAAGTTTGATGATTTCCAAAGCCTGAGTGTACTTAGAAATTGCAAATTCACATTTTTGTGCACCTTTCATCAATGCTTTTTCAGTAAAATTCATGCAAGTAAATGTTTTTAAATGGATATAAAAGGTGAAAATTTTAATTCAATAAAAATTGCCAAAAGGATGGAAAATGTTGATATCTTCAATTTCATTATTTTGACTAGCACCGGATTCCACCACGTTTCGACACATATTAATCCGTGAATAGATCAGTGCTTGCCAACCTAAGCAACACAGCCCACTAATGGGCAATTTGATAACGAAGTGGCTATTCGGACTCGAGTTTCAATAGCCTCCCATAGCTATTCGGACTCAAACTCCAATGAGCATTACTCTGAATGACTGACTTTTCTTCCCTTTGGAAAGGTTTTAACTGGACTTCCAATTGATCAATGATTTTGTCTTTCTCATCAAATAAAGCAGGTTAAACTACGGTACCTCCTTTGTTGTTCTGAAACTTTGATTTTCTATTTTATTTCACTGCTTTGAGCTCAGATTGCCATTTCCCTGTTTGCCTTTGCAGTGTAGTATTTCAGATTTTGCAGCTGCGGTTCACTTTGGACGTCACTAGATCTAATACTTTTCTTAATTTGTGTCGAAAATTTTGGCCAGATAATAAAAACCAAGGAAGGCCAAGGTCGACCTGTTCGCTTCACATCCAGTAGCCTATGCCTACACCCGCTGATTACGCACACGCATTGGGAGTTTAAACTGAGTCCGAATAGCCACGGGGGGTTATTCAGACTTGAGTCCGAATATATGAGGCCATTCGATAATTTTGCTGGGCAGTATGGATCACACAGGTGGTGACAGATATTATTTGATGTTTACTACAGTTAGGTGAGTGGTAGGAAAATGTTTGCCTCTCAAAGGTGGCAATAAATGGGTGATCGACAAAAAAAGGTTAACAAGCACTGACAAATATGAATCTATTTGCCTTCTAACGAAAGCTTGCAAAGATGAGCTCGCTTGCAAAGATGAGCTCACTTGCTCATCTTCAGTTGTACAAGGATGCTTTACAGCTGTATAATGTATAAAAAAAAGGAACATCCAGCATTAAATCTCCTTCTGAATGTAAATACAAACAAACCTGTTGAAAAGACAACCACCCATTGTCAAAGAGAAAAGCAGTCATCTTAGACAGGTTGTCCTCTTGGTCAAAGTCTTTTAATTTAATATATAGTAGAAAACAAAAACAAAGGGGAAGTGGAAAGTGATTTGTACAGGTGGTTGTACTAGACAGGCGATCATAGCTTTGACTGAAACTGATCTTAAAAGTTTATCTACCAATGAAATATTGAAGGACGTTTAAGTTTAAGTATAAAACAACTACTGAAAAATCAGTGAGCAGGATAGTAGGGATTAATCAGGGACTCTATAAAATATAGTTCTGAAATATCTTTGAGCAGGATTCGAACTCAAAATAATCTTCTGATGTTATACATGATGACATAAAAGGGTCGAAAAAGTTAAAACCCAGGTTACCTCTGGTTTGTGTGACAAGCTGGGGTCACCTTCAATAGCCTTCACGATCGACACCAAGTCTTCAGTGCAAAAAACAGCCCTGGGTTGAGTATTGCTACAATACCGACAAATATCACCTGGAACAGAAATGGGTGAAAGTTTTGTATTCCATGCTAACTATTCGAAGGTGTAGGAGATGTTTTTCTTGAACATCTTTACAAAGAATTTGTTTGGTATTAATGGGGTTTTTTAAAGTTTGAGCCTCGCGAAATAACATTCAAAGACCACAAAAAGCTTTAACTGTAAATGACATTACATCTGATCTGCAGTTGAGAAAGAGAAGTCAATCAATATTACAGCTATGGCTTCAACTTAAACAAGAGACAGACAAAAGCTATTTGGTTTCAACACCGTAAGTTTATACAGTAAAACTTTGCAAACATGACAAGAAGCACCGCACTTCATCTCCCCCACATTAAACATACATGTAGTTATTATAGTTACATAAATTTCCAAATACTAATATTGTCATAATAATATTAATAGTTAATTTGTCAATGTCTGATGATGGCCAATGCTCTTGCAGAGGAGACTATAATAGTATCTTAAGAGAAATAAAGGAAACAAGGGTTAAAATGACATCTTCAGGTATGACAAATGAGACAATTATGGGAGATAAAAAATTTCCACATTTTGAAAATGGTGAAATGGTATAGGTTTAACGCCCTATCAACACTGTTGGATCATTCAATAAGCAAGGCCTGCGAGCTTAACATCCATCTCCGAAAAGACCAAACAAAATAGGACATTTGTGTCAAGTGCCTTTCCCAAGGACACGTCAGACCGAGCTGAGGCTCCAACCCCCAAACCCTAAATCTCTAGATTACGGTTCCTGTAGCCTAACCACTAGGCTACCGACTCCACTCCACATTTTGAGCATTTACCGATATTGCAATACCGTACCAAACTACACACCAGTAATACTGACCACTCGTTGATGCACTGTTAATTGGAGAGAAAGTAACCCCAAGGCGGGAGCAGGCCAAAGCAAGCACAGCGAGATCAAGGTTGTTGGTTGCAAACACCAGGGCTACGTCATTCCTCCTGAAGCCTAGCCCGTGGAGGGAATTGGCCACACTCTCTGATCTCTGCTTGAGAGCATTGTAGGTGATACTCCTTCTTGTGTGAAATTCTTCCTGGAATAGGGGAAAGAGCAAAAATACTGACGGGGAGCATAGGATATTGGGCGATTTCTTTTTTAGTAGAAAAAAATAGAAGCAACAGAGATATGGTTTCTTAGGAGACTGGTGAGATATCGTGAAAGAAAAAAAAATCAAGAGGTATACTATTTGATGAAGCCCACGTGGGACACTCCACTCACTGTTAATAACAATCACGAAAACACAACAGCAGTTTCTGGGACATCTGAAAGGACGTTCAGATCTTGAACATCTAGCTCTCACTGGGAAAACTGAAGGCAGACGGGACAGGAGTAGGCCCAGAGCAACCTACTTACAGAATACTAAACAGATGGGTAACGGGGAAAGATCAGGGTAACGTAGCTTTTTTAAGAGCATTCGAGCAAAGGAATGATTGAAGAACCATGATCGCCGATGTCTGCCACAGATCTGGCACTTGATGATGATAATGATGAGAAGAATCATAACAGGGGATGAAACATGTGTGTATTCGTGGGAACCGGAACAAAAAATATACGATTGGCAGAGAGGAGACGCCCGGGATCACCACGAACCCGGAAGAGCATTTTTTTTGTTTTTTTTTTTTTGTTTTTTTTTTTTTTTGGATATTATATTTCTTGGAATCTCTACATAAAGGGGAGGGGAGTGTGGAGAGATTGTCGGCTCTTTTTTTTCTCCGTTAGTCTTCACGCCTCTCTCTCTCTCTCTCTCTCTCTCTCTCTCTCTCTCTCTCTCTCTCTCTCTCTCTCTCTCTCTCTCTCAAGAGTTAACCTCAGCCTGATGTCCGATCAAAGACTTGTGCCCTGAAAAAGACGGCAGTTTCTGTTCCCAGAACTCTATACAAAGTGGACAACAAAGAGATTTCGGGTAAATGTCTGGCCTACTTAATTGAGGTCTCCACAATGAACTTCATTTACTTGACCAACTACATATCTGAGGTCTCTGGTCTTTGCGCGGCCAATGTGTGTGTCTGGGGGGGGGGGGGGGGGG